AATTTGTCAATGACTTCTGTGGGGGTATAATATCAGAGTGCTGTGGTGGGGATTGACTCATACCTGATCTTTACAATCGCTGAGTTGTGGCAAACAACTTTTCAGAGGGAGACGGACGGGCTACGGGCCTCCCTCTCCTCCTTACCAAGTTTCAGGGTACCCCATTTTCCCACCAGGTACAATTTGCTCAAAGCTGTGCGGCTGGGGAAAAAACACACTAGGCGTCGTTAGTGCCGAGAAAGTGGGTGTCAAATGCCGGGTACCCATCCCCTCTGCGTCCCCTGGGAGCGGGCGGCGGGGGCCTGGGCACCTCTGGTGCACGGAGCCGCTTTGCTTTGGGGTGGGAAAGCAACAGCTTTTGTGCTTATACCCCCTGCCACGGGTGGGGACGCCCAGACTGAGCCCTGCTATGATGGCTGCACCCAGACGCCGTGTCGCCACCAAAGGGTCGAGCCACGCGAGTGGCACCAGCGTTATCCTCAGTCAGACAGAAGAGGGTACGAAGTACTCGAGTGGGATCTGAGCAGCTGGGTTTTCAGTGGAACTGCACTCCTCTGGGCACGTGCCTGCCTTCTGTGGGGGTATTTCCACGGTTTCTCTGTGCTATCAGAACCGTCCTATGGTTCATAGAATCACAGGATGGTTTGGGTTGGAAGGGACCTTTAAAAGTCATCTAGTCCAACCCCCCTGCAACGAGCAGGGACATCTTCAACTCGATCAGGTTGCTCAGAGCCCCATCCAACCTGACCTTGAATGTTTCCAGGGATGGGGCATCTGTCACCTCTCTGGGCAACCTGTGCCAGGGTTTCACCACCCTCATTGTAAAAAATATTTTCTTGCCAACATGGTTTTATTGCTGGTTTTCCCCTTAGTTTTACATCCTCTTTGTTCCTAGACATGTAGGTCTGAACTCCAGAAGCCCGTTAGCACATACTTCTGCATGTTCGCAGCGAGGATCCCAGATGGGATGCTTGCCTGAATCAGGACTGAAACTTGTGACATACTTGGAGATCCCTTAGAGTGAAATTCTTGTGGTTGTGTATAATGGGCATATTTTTTGAGAAATAACTTTTTTTCTTCTACAGATATACAAGTAGAGCTGGTTCACGTAACAGCTTACCTAAAAAATTAATGTTCTCAAAAACTGAGAGATAGTGAGGAAAGTATAAGCACAGTTAATTACCGGGGAGCCCTTCCCTGTTAAAGCAGCTCATACACAGATGTGTAACAGTGTAGTTGATATCATTACATATTTAAATGCTTCATGGAAGGCTGGGCTTATAGAGAAGGCTAATTTCTTCTGACAATGAATCGTAGCAATAAGCCTATAGATGTGATGAACTTAGTAATGAGATTAAGGTTTCATTCCCATCCCCGTATTGACAAATTTGTCTTAATTTTTTCCTGCAACTTTTTCCTTGGAGTTCTATGACACTGTATAATGTAACAACATATATTCACATTCCTCCATGCCTTTTAATTTGTGTTTGTTCCAATTTCTTGTACCTTGTACCTCTGAGCTTTACAAACTTACAAAAAAATCTCAGATGTGATTTGTTTGCATTCATTTGAAATAATGAGAAGAATGAATACACATGAGTATTAGTAAGAGTGGTCTTATTAAGCAACTCCAATGCATTTCTTTATCAAAGCTGTTTATTGACTCCTTGCCACATGCAAAAGCCACTAGCAAGAGCAGATATTACATAGTTTTGTCACTGGACAATAGCTTTGTGTTTAGAGTTCATATACAAAACCAGTTGAAAAATATTGTTTTGGATGAAAAGAAAGTTTTTTAAACATAAAAAAATTTCAGACAATTTCCTTTCACTTAAAATTTCCTAGGTTTTGAAGGCATGCCTGAAAGACAAACCTGGACACTTACGATGCAACTGTTTTCATTTTTAACCCGTTTCCTCCCCCTCTCACTGACAAAGGAAGATGTGAGTTTTGGTTTTCCACAAAGTGCATGCCACAAGAGATTTCTCAACAAAAATCTCAACAGCTCTTTTCTGCTGACTTTCCTGATATGTGAGATACGTCTCCCTGCGAATCCTGAGTGATGGTAGCGACATTTAAAATGGGAGATGAGTCTTCCCAGGGTCAGAAAACATTGTGAGCAACAAAATTTTTCAACTTTGTCTCCCCATTGATAAGGTACATTAATATAGGAGCTGCACAGTTATGTGATGCTTTAAATATATTTAGGTCACATATTTAAGTACTTAAATACATTTAAGTTTAAAATATGTTTATGTTATCTGAAATATTTATGGTTATATATCTTGGCATTAGCTCTTTAATTTATGGGTACACTCTTACAAAGTTCAGAGAAGAGACAACCATTGCATTTCTTCTTTCCGGAAAGCAGAGCGAAATATAGTGTATTATGAGAGCCCCAAGCAAACCAGCTTTGCTCCTGGCCCAGGACAGGCTTGTGGACAATAAAATGGAAATAAAAATGGGCACAGCAGCACCCATCCCTCAGCCTGTCAGCTGGCATCAGTCTCTCTCTGGCATCAATGCATTAGGCAAAGGTAAGAGAAGCAAATCCTGCACACACTGTGCCTTAGCTGACACCATGAGTTTTCCCACAGAAGGGGAGTTTTACAAAAAAACTCTTGAGTCAGCTGGCATTTAAAGTTATCACTAAATACAAAGCAGTTGAATTTTATATGGGGTAAGACAAACCGCTTCTCCCTCTGTTTGTATTAATAAGAGATGTGTCTGGGGCACGTTTTTCTGCTGCAGGAGACTGGAGAGCCAGTAAATGAAAGCTGCTGCAGCGTGACTGCAGGTAAAAAGTATAATGTGTGCAAAGCTTAGATCATTGCTGTCTACTGCTCCCACCCCATTCCCAGTGTCAGGGACGCTCCGTTGATTTATAGTGGTCAAAGGGCAAAAATGAAGCAGTGGCAGCGGGAGGTAAAAGGCAAGGAGAAGAGAGAAGAAGGGGGAGCTCAAGCCCTAACAGAAATGGGACATTCCCATTTCGGAGACCCCCAACACAGCTGTGTCCCAGGACGGAGGTCTCTCCCCCATCGCAGCTCTCGGTGCTGGGCTCGGTGGTTCGCTCCCGCTGTGACATGCTGAGTGGTGCCACTGGGTGTCCTGTTTGCTGCGTTCGGGCGACGTAAAGCAGCCACAAAGTGGAAACGAACAGTCTCAAACCAGCTGTCTCCAGTGGGGACATCTCAGGCCCTTTGACATGAAATCAGTGAGGGTCACGACTGGCCCTCAGATTCATGCAATAGAAGATATATGCATGCCTGCACACCTAAAGGCAGAATTTTAAGACTCGGGGCTTGAGCACTGTACAGCAAAGGTTTTGGTAGAGGTAGACCCGCATCACTTCTGTGTCCTCTTTTAGCCTCTCCCACCACTGCCAGATTGCTCAGCATCCTTTCTCACCCCCCGTAATTCTGGGTTGTTTGCTTCATTAAACAACTTAGCATCTTAGTCAGAAAACATCTTCCTCCTAAAATTAATCCAGCTTGTTCATAATTGTCATTAGCGGCTTTTATTTTTTAGTAGAATTATTTTGGTAAGCCCATGTGTACCACTTGCTACGTTGAAGAACCATCATGGATCTCAACAGGACCGTGTAATTTACATCACAGTGATTCATATCAACATATGGGGAGCCTTATGAGAACAAAGAGCAGAAGAAAAGTGATGGAATAACACAATGAGAGCAAGAGATGAAAGGGAGGACAAATGCAACATGCATTACACCAGGCAGTGCCAGTGGGGAAGGTGCAAGCCATGGCATGCTCCCTTCCTCTCTTACGCCCTTTTGTCTCTGCAGTACATCTGAGCCTACAGTAAGTAACTCCTTTTTGCATACACCTCTGACATGCCTAACACATGTAAAAATAAAAAAATCCAACCCAAGTTAGGTACCTTGCATATTTAAGTGTGTGTTAAAATGTTGAGATTGAATATTTTGATTTAAAAAGACTGATCTATTTAACATGTTGTCTGAGGGATCAAATTCATTGAATAATGTATAAAAGGATGGGGAAGAGCCAGATGTTTCACAGTAAAATACAGCTACGATGCTGCAGAGGAAATAAATGAATTAACTCCCAGAACAACTCTGCTTGATCCAGAAGGGTATCCTTTGGATTTTGAATTGAAATCCTTTATGAATGAATGTATGTTACATGTGTTAAAATAAACTTTGTGCTCAATAAGAGATTCTTACTGTTGCTTCTGTCGTGTATAAGTTGGATAAATGTTCCCACAGTCTTCCCCTGTAATCACAGTCATAGCTTGCAGTTGTAAAACTGCATCCCTCGGTAGTTGCAAAACCTTTTACAAACCAGCCGAGCCCATACACAGTCACTTCACCCAACACAGGGATGGGTCAGGGCACTTCTTTAAGTACTTTATGCGTTTATGGTCTGCATTACTGCAATCCCTCTCGCTCATCAGCATATTTATCCACAGTTTTCCTCTGGG